TAACTCGCGTAAAACAGATAGGCCAGAGAGTGGCACGAGCAACGACGAGCATCGGCGACAATCGACGGAAGCGGGCACAAAGAGGGACGACGATGCCGTCTCACCCCGCTGGCTCGCCTTCTCGCGCTGGTCTTACGCTCGCCCAACGGCCCGATAGCGCGATAGCGTTTGTCGGCGCGTTGCCGGTTATTGGAAATAGCCCGGTCGGTCGATCTACCCCGCCGTGAAATACACACAAGTCTAGCGCGCGAGCCTACGTCATACCTTGGCATGTGTACATTATTCATGGCCATCGGTGAAAAGGGCGCCAGCCGTATTACGTATGCCGCGGGTTATTATGCCCTCTAAATGTTTAATGTGTTTGCCTTCCTTCGCCGGCCACGGACGTGGCTTTATGTTTTAGTAAGTAAATTACTGTTTTTTTTTATTAGTCCTCCACCGTTTATGTTGGTTCAATCGATTCATAGCTCTCTCGCGCGCACTCTTTCTCTCTCTCTTCTTTTCTTCCTCTCCCGCCCCCTCCCCCCTTTTTCGTCGCTCTTTCTCTTCTTTCACCCCGGCACTCATCTGTGTGTGTGTATTCTCGCTGCGTCTGTATGGTTCTCTCTCTCTCTCTCTCTCCCTCTCTTTCGGCCGACGTGAATTTTTGTACCGCCGCTCGGCGAATATTTAATCGTCCTGTCTTATTCATTTTTAGTGCGTCGTACGCGCCCCCGTTTCTCTCCTCGCCCCCGAAATAAGAGCGGTCGCGTACAATGGCGCAATGAATTTCAAAGTTCGGCCCTCCTTTCACGGGGCCCCGGCCGCACAATGGTAGAAGGAAATAGCGACGAATCGTAATTGTTTTGCAAGTGCCGCCTCGCTTCGTTTCGCTGAGGAAAAATTTCGTCGAGGCTCGCCGCGAGATACGTTCTCGTAATTGTAACGATACGACGTGCCCGCTAAGAGAGAGAGAGAGAGAGAGAAAAAGAGAGAGGAGGAGCTGAGAAGGACGAAACGCCGGACGGGGGTGTAAAGTTTCTCGTCGACGCCGGAAGTTCGTTATTTACAAAATTAATATCCGGCAGCTTTTCCTCGGACCACCGTTAGTCGAAAAGGGATGGTGCGGGACGCGGCAGGGTTGTACGGACAAGGAGGGGGAGGGGAGAAGGTCGTTAAAACCGCGATCGCAAAAACGCGCAACGCCGAAACGCGAAACCCAGCGGAAAGTTTGGAATTTACTGCTCCGACATATTGGCTACGAAAGCACACGAAATTAAGGCTAGTAAAACACTCGCCTGACACGTGCCCAACCCCCGCGTGTCCGCCTCCGACCCCTCATTGCCCCCCTTGGCCATATTGTATCTCGTGAACGAAATGTTCGACGGTTGGCTGGACCGTCTTCCGCGTTGGAAAAATTTCCGTGAAATATTTCCGACGACGGGCGCGGGAAATGTCGCGGCTGTTTCCGCTAATTCGTCTGAAAGGGCGCCAAAAATGTTTGCCCAGGTCTCGATACTCGTCGCTCGTCCGCGATGAAATAACGCGACACCGTGTAAATGCGATTTAATTTTTCACACGGCAGTCCGCGAGTTTTTATTTTTTCACCTTCCATCCTTCCTCCGCCAAGGGTCGGGCAGAATGCACCCTTTATTCGCGATATACGAGTGTGAACTCCGTTTCGTGCGGTCGACGAACGTCGATATTTTTGTTTGGATTTTAATATCGCGATATTTTCTATAGCAACGCCGGAAACGGCCGGCGCATTTTTAACAATGAATCGTGTTTTGCGTATAAATTTGATTTGCTGCACGTTTGAAAATGTCATCGTTCTTTCGGCATTGCCAGCATCGTTTAGTCGCTGTCATAACACGTTTTACAAATTTAATATTATTCTTGGTACAAAAATGGAACAATTTCCGCTATTATGTTTTTTAAAGCATACTTCATCTCTATTTCGCAAACTTAACAATTATGTCAATTTATCTAAATTTCTTGCAATAATATAATGTAATTTTAAGACACGGAAATAGTAAATAATAAATGATAAAATTAAATAAAATTCTAATAAAAAATTGTGTTGCCCAAAGATTTAGTTGATTATAAGTTTCTTATAACCAACTTCAACAAATATACTCCTGATTTTAAATCCACGTGCTGCACGTGCTAGGATGGAGCTGATGGCGACATCTTTCAGTTGCAACGCAACCTGCATTTCTGATTCCAATGCTGCACGGTAACGGAGATTGTAGTATGGTTGATTTGCCAATATTATACATATTGATAATTATCGAAATAAAAAATGATGTCATTTCCAAACGTACAAAATGCATGTAAAACTAGGAATAGGCACGAGATGTACAATAATTAAAACTAATAAATAGAAAACTATGTTAACTAAATTAAAGAATAATATAGATAATATTAAAGAAAAATAAATTAAATATTGGGCTTACCAAAACGATGAATGAAAAAGAAGTAGAAGATGCAAAAATGTGCAGGAATGTTTCTGTAACACAAAAAGATCTTTGTAAATAAAAATGCAAGGAAATTCACAGGATGTTTCGAATGAGTAATCAACAACGCCTTCATAATTACATAGTTTATTTACAAATTTTACATATCATATTTTAACATCGCTGTAAAAAAAGTAATCCCTGTATTAAATTGTATTTTCGCTGTGGAACGCTAAATTAGCATATTTCTAAAAGCTTTTTAATTTTCTTGAATATGAAGAAAGATAATAGATTTCGAAAATGTAGTACTCGACTATAACTTAACCGCAAATAAAAAAATTAATACATGTATTAAACCGTTCATATAAATTGTCCGTAAAAAAGGAAACCTTTATTTTGTATTTGTGTCAGTATTTTGTATTCGTTTCAAAACAAAAACCAAGATTTTTATCATATAAAACAAGTGAAACAATTTTATATTAAATTTCAAAAAAATAGATTATGTAGTTATTTGATATAAAAAAGGAGTACGATACTTTATGATAAAAGAATAACGTGCTATATATATTTCTCTCTCTAATTCACTCAATCATTGATTTGAAATAATAAATCATAAAGTAAGCATATTGAGCTATTACCTATAGGTATCCAATGAATTATATTGTTGTGATATATTGGCCTTGTTTCTTTCTGATCTAGATTAAGACAAACAATATCTGTGTTGATTTTTGAGCTGAAACAGTTGCGAGAAAAAATGATCATTGCCAGGATGTTTTCAAGTTCAAAACGATAAAAACCGGTGTCCGATTTCTTTTACGCAACTTATTTTCTCTCTCTATCTCAATCCGGCTTTTGAAAATGTTCTAAATGCGGCCCTGCTCCGAACTGGCGACCGATCCTCTCGGGACCGTCGCGTCGCGGCGCGGTTTGCGTCGCGGCGGCGCGGCATGACGTTTCGTCGTCGCCGTGCGCACAAACACGCATTCATTTGCTCGCTCACACACACATACATACATACATATACATGCGCATCGCGACGCAACCACTTGTGGATCTCTTGGTCGCGACCGACATGCTGCATCGGCGGATCGCACGACTTTTCCAGCGCCGGCGCCCGTCCTGATCCGCCGTCGCGACGCCGCATGCGTCGGGAGATGGACGTCGCGCGCGCGCGACTTTTGCGAAAATTGGACGGCGCGAGTGCGAACACGCGCGTGTGTGTCAAACACACGCCATGTCAAACTTGCACGGCTATCGCACGCGAAAAGTAAAGTGAAACCGGCGGGCTTACCAAAACTCGAAAGATCAGCACAGATGGGCGAGTCGTGAGAAACGGCGCGGGACGATTCACCACGCGGAAACTGCACAAAAATCACTGAAAAACGCGGAGGAACGCGCGGCGAGACATTTTGCATATAGACAACTGCATGTATACACTGCTATAGTGGCGCCGCAGCGCAGCTGAATGAAGCATCATCACCGCCGCCGCCGCGACGCCGAGAAGATTCAGCAGATAAAAAGTTCGACTCTCCTCTTTCTTTTGAAGCACAAATGCAAAAGTCGCATTATGCGATTTTTAGCACGACATAGTGCAAAATTCGTCAATAAAATATAAATATTTTAAATTTTATTAATCAGACGTTGTAGAGCACAAAAAATATAATGTACATAAAAAATTGCATTGTAAAGGTAATTTTTTTTCAATATAAAGCTCTAATCTTTGTTAAATAATATTATAATCAAAAGTAGATGATCAAATAATGATGAAATTAAATACGTAACAATCTATTCTGTAATGTATTTTATAATGTGCAAATTCTTTATTATCGACCAACTGTACTACGTTCACTGATTCGACTTCTAATAGATGGAGCCACCAGTTTCTTTCCAGAATACAATTTTGCATTTGAGCGGGTTATTTACAAAGTAGTGCGTTTTGCAATATATAATTAACTTTGAATGTGTATATTTTTATGAAAATTTACTGAAATTATTAAAATATGCCTTACATATTACTTGAGCAATTTATATTCACAAAATGTTTTTAATTTTTTCTACTGCGTAACTTCTAAAATTTTTATTCTTTGCTAGTGCTTGTGCATATAAAATATCCTATTTTAATCATATTATTGCTAATCAAACAAAAATCTAAATAATCAATTAATCAAACACAATTAAAAATTTTTAAATAAAAGCAAAGAAGGATAAGGCTCTAGAAATTTTCAATAAAAAATAAATTGAAGCATATGCGAACTTTATGTTTACCATGTTTAACTTTTATTGCTCTGTTATTTTTTTATTTTTGAATTAATAAAAATTAATTTTTTATAACCATCCTACACGTACTTTAAAATAATTACATACATTGTAATAGTTTCTATTGTTATAAAAATTTTACAATACATGAAACTCATTAAAATACATGCATTTTTATTAGCCTGAATTAGTCATTTTAGAAAAATGTTCCGAAATAATCATATAGTTTTCAACCAACGCCGTCCCTGCATGAGCACGGAGGTAGGGTAGGGTCGAGTTTCGACGTGCTATCCATCTCTTTCAGTGGCTTATACGTGTCCAAAGAAAGAAAGAGAGAGACGATATTGTCGGGTGAGTCGGGCAGAGACCGAAGAAGGGTGCGCGGTGCATTGCGGCGGCTTTCAACATGGCACCAAGCCGCATCTGAGCACGCGAGGGACGAGCGAATTTTATCGAGGATGCACTAGTGCCGAGTGTATCGTTCACAAGGGAAGTTTCCTTCTCACGAGTGCGTGGACGCGTTTTCGGAAAGTGCGTCGGATTTGAAGCAACACGCGGTGAAACAGCGAGTCATGCCGAGGAGTCGCACAGGGCAGGGACGGCAGGCCAATCCGGTGGCGGTCATCCTACCCCGTGTCGAGTGACAGGCTGCTTACGTAACGGATTATTCTCGCTATGATAACGACACTCCAGGCGCGAACGCGACACGCCGAGAGGAAACAACGGATCAGCAGTAGCATCGTCGCCGGGAGAGCCGTCGACGCAACGGCGCCGGAGCGCGCGACCCCGACAGAAATACACCGACCCGAATCCCGCTACCGCCGACTCTGATACACGTCGCCCGAGCGGACGTTGAGCGTCGCGACGCCTACCTCTTCGCCTCCGCCGCGGTGCGGGTGGGACACCCGACCCGAGTGCGAATTATGACAGCGGCAGTCGTCATGGAAAACGTTAACTGGGATCCCGGTAAGTGCGAGCGGATTGCAAAAGTAGAAACATGGGCTGCTTTCGGGCAGATCGAGATGATTAAGAGCGGCATCGAAAGGCTTCACGTGTCCTCGCTTGGCACCGATTAGGCAGCGCTTCGAAATAGGGGTGATGATATTTGAACGACGAGAGTGACTTCGTTAAAGTTAATTAATGCGGCAATATGTTGATGCGATTTCCGCTGTGTCATAGATAAAAGTAAAGAAGGAGACTTATTGGAGCAAATTGCAGAGAGAGAATATAATCCGATATGAGTAAATTTCAATACCTTTCAAAGACATGTATTAATAAAACGTGCGCTAAGCGTGAGAGTGTTGCACGTTTTAAATATAGAGCGGGTAAGCTGAGGAGTAAATAAACGCGATCGAGAGTAATAACGGGGTCTCTGTAATAGAGTCATGGCTAAGCGAATGCGTCACGATAGCGGATATTCTAGCTACGACTGCTCCAATTTGATGAATAGAAAAGACGTCTCGGTCGACTGCTTCGTATTTATGAGTTAATTTATTGATCGACTTATAAATACGACAAGAAACCATTGTCAAATTAAAATAATTATGGGAATATATTAGTTCATTGCCGCTTTTATTTTTTGTATTCGTATATTATATTTAAATATGAGGATAAAAATAGCATAAATTTACTAATAATAAATGTTATAATAGATTATGAAAGTGAGAGAAAAAATTTAATAGATTAAATAAAAAATTAAAATAAATATAAAAACAAAATTCTTTTATTTCATAAAATATTTTATTTCGAGATTGGTCCTAACTTCAAAATAATAAATTTACATTTTTGCTATATTGTCCGATGTGTCTTATTTATTTATTATTAATTATTCCAGCATTATCCAAGCTACTCAACACACTGCAGGAGAATAAGTCGGAAATACCCAGCTGTACCGAGGAGGAATTTGGTTTTCTGAGTGAATTGCTACAGTCAAAGGAACTGAATGCTCTGGTGAACGTTCACAACAAGATTTTGAATAATGTCAAAGATGACAAATTCTCTCCCATACTCTCAAACTCGATGGACATTGACATTGAGGTACTCGATCTGTTGTCAACCAAAACGCACATCTCCGCTGAGTGCAAAGAACTCTTTCACTTGCTGCAGAAACCGCATATCCAGGTAATGAAGCACAATATATTTACACATCAAGTCTCATTTATCATTAATTTATTATACATATAATTTTGCTACGGCAATAAGTCTTTATCTTTATTTTTCGCATGTTTTTATACTCCACATTTCTAGCAGCTGTTGATTGCGTTAAATGTTTGCCCTAAATTAAAATTATTTAACAAATAATAAAAAAAACTAATATTTTGAAAGTACTAATTTTGATAGAATAATTCTAATGGAACTTCTTATTATTAAAGGGTCTCCTTTGCGCCCACGACGCAGTGGCACAAAAGGACTATTATCCGAGGCTACCGGACATCCCGTTGGAGGTGGACGAAGACGAGGAGACGGTGAAGATCGTTCAGTTGGTGAAGTCGAACGAGCCCCTGGTACGTCAAATCGATCGTTGAATCGGCATATTGCAATAACGGTGTCTTTCTGACCGTCTTTCACTCGATTAATCCGAAAGTATGAGAAAGAGCGAAAGAGGGAGAGAAGGCCTAATCATCGAGCGGTAGTATCCAAATGTATGCGTTTGCGTTTGAAGAAACGTGAGAAAGAGTTGTGGGAGAAATTTTTGCCAGAATGTAAAAAATTCGTTTTTTTTCGCGCATTTGGTTGT